AAGTAAAAAAAAAATTTCTTACATGATAAGTAAAGATCAAACGTTTTCATATAGATAATAATCAAATTTGGATGATGATAACCATTTTTTACATTCAAATTTTACTATTTTTATTAAGTTGTAACAATGAAAATTTCTATAAAATATCATATAAATTATGTACTCTAATAGTTGTTGTTTAAATATGCTAAACTTATTGGCAGTTTCTGTCAAATAATTTAAAGCTGACATCTATTCATTATTTGTTGGTTATTGTTTTAATGGACTTGTAGTTATTTACAATAAATTGTTAATTATTATGACATACAGAATGCAAATTATTAAGGCATTGCTGTGTCAATTCACATATATATCTCAAAATAAATGTTATATGGACAAACAGTGATATATGAAATTGTAAATGTTAATCCTACATAACAATTTGCTAATCCTACGTAACACATTAAGACATATAATTATCAGATCTTTGGAATCAACAGATAATTATAGATAATTAAGACATGTTTGAGTTGAATAAATCAATTAACTTAAACCTATTGGTAATGTTTGGATATATTGTAGATGATGATATAGCATAGAAATTTTTCAATTCCAAAAAAATCTTCAGTTAACATCTTTGAGAAATCATTTATAATACATATTTATTATGTAATGAACTTTCTATAAATAAATTTTTAAAATATTTTTTATATTCAATTAATGTATTGAAAAACTAATAAAAGTTTAAAGATTTTTAAAAGATTAATGAACATTTCTATTTTTTAAGAACATAGTAAATGAAATTAAATCTCTGCTGTCATAAATAAACATGAAAGCAATGATAAATAACTTTTTTCTTCAAGCTGCTTATTTTTTTCCAATGTGACAGCTTGTACAGGTTTTGATTTTATTCTATACATTTCTAAGCATACTGATTTGTTTTTTATTTCTTATCTCAAACATGGCATTGAAGAAACTTGATCCAAGTTTGAAATGTTATGATTATGCATGAACTTTTATAACTGATTCCTTTTAGAGAAATGGAAAAAGTTTTGAAAGACTCGTGTGATTGATTAAAAACAAAATTTTATTGTTTTTATCATATTGATTGCACTTACTGAATCATATGATATCTGTTGTTCTGTTTTGCTGTATAGTTTATTGTATATAGCCAACAAATGGTTTTATTGATAAAACAAACAATAATGTATAATAGAGCTTTTATAATATCATGCAATCATTAATCAAATTTACTTTTTAATATTTTAAGAGAAAAAGCAATACTTTGAAATTAGGACTATATATATATATATTTGTTTAAAAACTTTTATAAACTAAAAACATTTTACTAGCAAAACAAATTTCTCTTCATTCAATATAGTAAAATATACTTATTCAATAAACACTTCTAAAAAACCAAAATATCCAGCAAACAAAAACTTTAATGACTAATGAATGTTTTCAGACATATTCAACTGTCATCAACATGTTTACATATCCAAAAATAGAATATAAATTGGAATTTACAAATTTTCATTTGCAGAGCATCAAGAGTGATGTAGCCAACCATATAGTAAATATTTTTAGTAAATTTCAAAAACAAACTTTTAAGCATCCGAGACAGTTTGTGTCTTTGTAGTTTATGCCAATTATCCTCCTGTTGGCTTTGTAGATTGGAATTCTATAAAAACAGGAGGATAATTGCCAGGAGGTAGATGCTATGGCCAGTCATACATAACAGATTAATTTTCTGAAGTAAGACCCAAATGTCATTTATTGGAGGTATATGTTGTGAGTGCTATATTAGTTTGATCTTTTTATGTCATTAAAGTACTGGTTAAGACTTTTAACAATAAAGGCCAGTTAATATTTTATGAGAATGGAAAACAGAAGAGAAAATGACATTAAATAGGTATAGTGAACAACACTGTGCGTTAGTTTTTTATTTTTATTTATTTATTTATTTTAATTAGACATACTAGGCAGAGCCCATGATGCGGGGTATACAATAATTCGTTACATGTACATTACACAAAAAAATATCATAATCCATCCATTATTACAGAGAAAATTAACATATACATAAATCAAACAAATTATACAAGTGTTATTATAAACATCAAAAATAAATATCTGAAAGCCAAATATCCAAATATGAACATATAACATAATAACAAAAAATCATCATGGTGAGAACTATCCAACCAAAATCATCATTATATAAAGAAAAAAACATTAATTACACCCACCTATAAAAGAAAAAGGATTCAATTATCTTATCCAAAATGTGGATAGTCTCCCAACACTTCTTAGCCACAAGCACACTTTTAAGGAAAAAACAAATGCCACCTTTCGGCAAAAACGAATACTCCAATATGCAAAATAAACAACGATGTACGTCACTCTGTACAAGGGGTCAGTAAAACAAAATAAAAATCACTGTGCGTTAGTTCTGTCACACATCTGTTCTCTTTTGATCAGTGAGAAAAGATGATAGGAGTTCTACTTTACTCTCTGTTTGGCAGTTTACAAACCTTTGCATTTCTAAACATGTCTATTTATTCAGTTTTAATTATTACAATTAAATAATTTTTGAAAATAAAATCTTTTGATTAAATCAATGAACAGAAAAAGTGTTTCTGCATTGTTGATCATTTTAAATTATTTGTCATATTTAAAATAAGATGAATTTATATTGTTAAGTGAATTACAGACATTAACTTTTTGTGATGTTTTAATTTTAAGAATTGTCATTTATTTCTGATTAATGAATTTAAGAACAAAAATTTAAAAAAGGAATACTATAATAGGAAAGCAATGAATACTGAAGAAAATTTTGAAATGCAGCACTCATATTTTTCTCCATACTTCTATTGAGAAGATTAAAGAATTGAAATTAGATTAAATTCAATAATGAAGTTTTGCATTTAGATCTAACAATTTAACTTCCTTCCAATCTACTCTGTCCCTCTGTTCACAGCTGCTTCACATAATATTATGATCTTTAGTTAACCGTTAGAGAGTATAAATGCAAAAGAAAAATAGAATTAGCCAAAATATATTGATATATGAAAAAGTGTAAATATGAGATAATGAATAAGAAACATGGTGAAGGGCCATGCCAAATGGTTTTGGCATCCAAGGCAAACCTCATATCTGGCACCCCTGATCCAACATTAATTATAAAAATATTGTACAGGCTCACTTTGGTGTACCCAATGTCAGTAATCAGGGCATGTATCCATCTTTGCTCTCCCTTATTTACACTGCTGATTATTAACAGCATGAAAGGGGTTAAATTAAGATGATAAATTGTTTCCAACTTTTTAGAATATATTAAAATAATTGTTTGTATTTAAACATCTTGAATATTTAAAAATGTTTTGGACTTTTTCGTAGAATGTATTTACTAAGCAATCACCAGGCGAAATTGTATTAACATTCTCCAGAGTGGAAAGAATACTAAATAAGAACATGACTTAAAAAAACTTGCTGAGTTCATGGAATATAATACTGTAATTAAAATTTTTTTAAATATTTTATAGGTATAGTCTGTGATTAAATTAATTTCTGTATTGTGGAAATTACAGGAATAAAGGAACTGATAATCTCAAAATCACATAAGTATTGGATTTATATTATTTTTTCAAATTTTTCATAACTACTTGTATTAATTTTTTTTCTTAAATTCATATTTTATTTATCATGGTAATTAGATAAATAAATATATGAACACTGAAGATTCCCTAGTGTCTGTCCTTAGTATGCTCAAATGGCTTTTTTAAATTAGCACAGCTCAAGATGTTCCAGATGTACAGTATGTTTGTAGGAAATACACCTACAAACTGAACTTGTTTGATATGTATAGTTTATTTACAAAAGAACACAGTTTATAATGGTACCACACTGTACCAATTGATACAATAACAACCAAGGACAAGTTAGNCGCAGTTTTCGATGAGTCATATCATTCTTAACTTGGACGGAAATGAAATTTGTTACAACGTTGCACTTAATCTTTCATATTTGTTGTTAGTAATTTAAAAGACATTTTGAAACACATACGGAACAATAATAATTTTTTTAAATATAATAACACAAAAATGAAAAGGGAACTTGGGTACATTTATCGAGAGCCACAAATAATCATTCAAAGAGCCGCATGCGGCTCGCGAGCTGCAGGTTGGCCACCCCTGATCTATAATTTATCAACATTTCTAGTTTCAAAACTGAGTTTAGAAGGAAGGTGAGTCTGTTACTTTCTATATTGCCACAATCTGCGCCACCTTGCAGGTGACTGCAGTTTTGGAGACATGTGGCCTGAACATTTTCATGATCAATTCATTTGTGGTATTCAACATGAAGCCTTACAGAGGAGATTATTGGCTGAATCATATTCAAAATTTGATGATTGTGTCAAATTTGCTCTTGCAGCAGAAGCTGTGACTGACATGAGCAGAAAAATTTATGCTGCCCATCTTACCAATGGAACTCATTCTTCTACAGTAGCCACCATACAAGCAAACCAGAAAAGGAAACAAAATAGTAAGAACTTTTCAAAATCAAGTCCACAACTAAATCGTTGTAGTAGATGTGGTAGTTCACATCCAAGAAGTAAATGCCTATATCTAGACACTGAATGCCAATTTTGTAAGAAAACTGGACACATAGAGCATGTTTGCAGAACTAAAAAGGCAACTGAACCATCATATCATTATCATAAAAATGGAAAAATTGACCCCCAAAAACATCTGCTTCCACAAACGTTGTAGGAGTGGCTAGGGATGATTTGATTGTTACAAATTGACAAATCAGTATTCAATGTTATGATATATTATATATATTTATTTATTTATTTAAAAAATAATTATAATGTTTATATATTACATTTTATTTTGTTTACATTAATGTTTTGCTGTATACAATATAATTTGATGTTTAAAGCAAGGTATTGTTTTTAAAAAATAAATAATTATCATTTGTATTAAAAAGCAAATTTTGACAGAACTTATAAATTATAGACAGGGGCAGAGACTACTACATCAGTTAGTTCTATACAAGAGACATCTGAAGAAGATAGTAGCAGAACAAGTAGCAGTTTTGCACCCTGTGACATTGGTTTGCTTGAAAGGTTAATTCGTACTCATCCAATCTGGTTTTTACCTGGAATTGGTCGAGCAGGTGCTGTGCATTTACTCCAAGGAAAAGAAGTTGGGGTAAGAAAAGGTTTTGAGAGAAAGCTAATTTTTAGGTTTATAAATTTTTTTCTTCCTTTAATGTATTATATTTAATGCTATTCATGTTAAATATTTCTTTGAAGTTAAAACAAACTTGAAATAATAGAATTTTAATTTAAAATTTAATTTAAAACTATAAATATATATATTACATTAATTAGATGAAGAAAAGCAAATTTCAAATTAAGGTAAAAAATAAAACAAAAAATTGATATACAAATAAACTTAAATCATCATAGAGCATGGTAGCACTCTAAGATGACTTAATAAATTCAGTAAACTTTAATATAAACAGCAACTATTTATATAATTGTTATTTTATATATATAATACAATACGTGAGTATTCTGCTATGTAAGAAATACTGTAAACAGTCATAATCAGCAATAACAGCTCAATGCCCATTGCTGTCTAATACCATCTTTTTTTAATTTTTTCCATATCATTTTTCAAATGGTTTAATTGTTGTAATTTTGTTTTGCACTATTCTTCTGAGTCATTTAGCCATACTCTGAAGTTGTCATTTTCTGTTTGTATATTTGTAATTGGCATTAAAAAGGGTACAAACAGAATCTAATAATTGTTATTAATCGTTACTGTAGTGTATTAACCCTAAATTCCTGACTGTTTATTGTAATCATTTATTGCCCCAATGGGTTGGGTGATGGGGCATAGCAGCTAACCTTTTGTCTCAGTTGTTGTAGGTTGATGCTTTTCAATGTGCAATAGAAGAGTTAACTCATTCCTATGTTGTTTTTTGTCTACCCTGAATCCAACATTGGCAATGAGGATGAGACTAATTTCCCTAGAACATATCTAGCACACTGAAGGCCAACATTAATACAATTCTGCCTGTGAGTGAACATCACACTGTTCTTTCACCTGCATCTCTCCATGGTGACCATTGGCATGATATAACCCTTTGATGTAGATTAATCATGAACTTGGGCCACGTTTGTAGAACAATTTGCATGTTTTTGTGTAGCAAATGACATTGTTGATGATGACAAAAAGCAAAAAATGCCTTTTGCTTCCCGTGGGCTTAAAATGCTTGGGATCCTTTGTTTGCTCATAGCATATTAGCCAGAGGTCACTCTATTGGAGGAACAAAGCCTATTGACCTAACAAATCTTTTTATCAGCTCATATGGAGGCATTAGCTTACACATGAACTGGTAAGAAGTTTGCTCACAGTTCTAGACCAGCCTTGACAAAGGAGTTACAACCAATTATTGACTCTCCTGAAAAACTATTTCTGTATGCGACCATCTATAACAGGGGTGGCCAAGCTTCTTGATAGTCCGAGCCATTTTTCAAAATTTGAAATTTTTTGGGGAGCCACAATTAAATACGTATTAAAAAGGTATGCAAAAAATTCCAGAATTATATCCGTAGCAAGAGTGATACAAATTGTTTCTTCCAGAGCACAATGTCAGCTGTCCATTGCAATGACAGTTTACAAATTCAAAATCGGTCTGGAGTCGGTCGATAATGGACGATTACGCCACTGTTTATGTTTGTTCGCGCAGTTTTCGATGAGTCATATCATTCTTAACTTGGACGGAAATGAAATTTGTTACAACGTTGCACTTAATCTTTCATATTTGTTGTTAGTAATTTAAAAGACATTTTGAAACACATACGGAACAATAATAATTTTTTTAAATATAATAACACAAAAATGAAAAGGGAACTTGGGTACATTTATCGAGAGCCACAAATAATCATTCAAAGAGCCGCATGCGGCTCGCGAGCTGCAGGTTGGCCACCCCTGATCTATAATTTATCAACATTTCTAGTTTCAAAACTGAGTTTAGAAGGAAGGTGAGTCTGTTACTTTCTATATTGCCACAATCTGCGCCACCTTGCAGGTGACTGCAGTTTTGGAGACATGTGGCCTGAACATTTTCATGATCAATTCATTTGTGGTATTCAACATGAAGCCTTACAGAGGAGATTATTGGCTGAATCATATTCAAAATTTGATGATTGTGTCAAATTTGCTCTTGCAGCAGAAGCTGTGACTGACATGAGCAGAAAAATTTATGCTGCCCATCTTACCAATGGAACTCATTCTTCTACAGTAGCCACCATACAAGCAAACCAGAAAAGGAAACAAAATAGTAAGAACTTTTCAAAATCAAGTCCACAACTAAATCGTTGTAGTAGATGTGGTAGTTCACATCCAAGAAGTAAATGCCTATATCTAGACACTGAATGCCAATTTTGTAAGAAAACTGGACACATAGAGCATGTTTGCAGAACTAAAAAGGCAACTGAACCATCATATCATTATCATAAAAATGGAAAAATTGACCCCCAAAAACATCTGCTTCCACAAACGTTGTAGGAGTTGCATCATCATACACTGTTAATAGACTTCGTCCTGCTACATCCTATAAATGCAAGGTTACTGTTCAACTTAATGGTTGTCCATGTCAGTTAGAAATGGGCTCTGGTTATGACTATACAGTTATTAATGAGGACTAATTCAAAAGTCTGTGGCCTACTAAAGCACCAAAATTACAGCCAGTTTCCTTTGTGCTTCATGATTTCCAGTGTTAATCAATCAACTTCAAAGAACAGTGTAAACAGTGTACTGTTCCAGTCTTATACAATAGACAACACAGAACCAACTTCTAGTGCATATAATACAAAAAACGAACACTGCACAAATGTTTTCCAACTTCTTCTGAGTTCTTCTTCGGGTGCAACTGAATGGTTACCCAATGGAATGTTATTGGAACTAATGCCTATTCGTAAAATTTTAAAACAACATAATTTGAATGACCATTTGAAAATATAAATATAAATTTTTATTTTTATTTTTAAATGGTTGTTCAAATTACGTTGTTTCAGAAAGAACTCCAGGCTTTCCTTGGACTACTGAATATTTATGATAATTTTCTGCATCATAAAGTCACTATTGCAGAACCACTTTACTGACTTCTGACAAAGGACACACCCTGGAAATGGGCAAAAATACACCAAAGAGTTTTTGATGAACTGAAAAAACCTCTCTCCATCAGAAAATATACTTGTTTCCTTCAACAGTATGAAAGAAATCACACTCGCGTGATGCTTCGCTCACTGGACTAAAAAACAAACTCAGAACTGTACGTGTGTGTGTGTGTGTGTGTGTGTGGGTGTGGGTGTGGGTGAGTTCTGAGCTTGTTTTTGGAGAATGGACACAAATCACCCATGGCTTTTACGTCTTGCACGCTTACAAAGACTGAATGTGGTTATGCACAAATTGACAAGGAAGCTCATGCTATTGTTTATGAGGTAAAATGTTTTCATCAGTTTCTCTTTGGAATGAAATTTTCAACATATACAGATCACAAATCACTGTTCGGACTATTTATGACTGATAAACCAACACCTTTAATCCTGTCATCCAGTATGCTGCAGTGGACACAGATTCTCAGTGTTTATGATTAAAAGCTTGTGTACAGACTAGGCAAGGATGTTGCCAATGCAGATGCACTGAGTTGTTTACCACTCCCAACCCCATGTGATGATGTTCCACCAGCCACTGAAATTCTTTTTTTGGAGCAACTGGACACTTCACCAGTCACTGCTTCAGATATTACATTACTAATATGTAAGAATCCACTGTTAAAATGTATTTGTCACTATGTACTGATTGGTTGGCCTAGTAGAAACCCATGTGATGGAGAAACTTTCTACATTTTTTAATCTCTGTACTGAACTTTTCCTTTACAAGGAATGTTTACAGTTGATGTAGGGAAGTAGTGATAAACCTATATCAACTGCAGAAGAAGATTTTGAATAAACTTCATCTTGCTCACCCAGGAATTGTGAAAATGAGGGCATTAGCACAATCATGTGTGGTGGTCTTGAGATTGAGTTATTAGTTAACATCTGTCAAGATTGTTAGAATGTTTGCTCCTTGCTTCCTAAGGCTCCAATTCACCCATGGAAAACACCAATGAAGATGTGGTCTCAACTTCATATAGACTTTGCAGGTCCATTTCAATGAGAAATATTTCTTGTAATCATAGATGCAACATCAAAATGGTTGTAAGTGAAACATGTGACTTCTACAGTACCCCACATAAGTGATTAAAGTACTTTGAGAATTGATGACTACTCATCGTATTCATGATAGCATTGTGTCAGATAATGGCCCACAATTTGCCTCTGAAGAGTTTGCCATCTTCTTAAAGTCCAATGGCATCTGTCAGATACATATTGCACCTTACTATTCACGAAGAAATGGGTTAGCTAAGCTCATGGTTCATTTCACAAAGGAATCATTGAAGAAAATGGTGCATGGAGATTAGCCTAAAAACTGCCAATTCCTTCTGCAACACTCATCACCCCATAAGCAGCTACTGGCTTGAGTCCATCAGAAGTACTGTTCAAGCAATGTTTGCAAACTTGCCTTGATTTTGTGCATCCATACATGGCACCTGTCACTACATAGGAAGCAGGTATGCACCTTTAAAGAACCAAGCACTTGTCTGTATCTGTAAAGCAGGAGAAAATTTTGCTTGGATTTCAGCTGCTGTTAACACATCACACTGGGTCAATGAGCTATGAGATACAAATGCCACAAGGTCCATAACATAGACACATTGATAAAATGAGATACACACTCTCACAATGCCTCCACTAATGAAATGTGCCATAAACCAACCTGATACTGAACAGAATTCAACTCCTCAAGTACCAGGCATATCCGGCAGATCACGTCCAGCCAAATCACAACTATGCTGATTAACACTCTCCACAACCATGCCTTATAATTTGTCCCCCAGTATATCTGAAGGTCTTTCATACATAAGGGAAAGAGGTGTAATGTATTGACCTGAAATTCCTGAATGTTTATAGTAATCATTTGTTACTGACAGTGGGCACTGGGCATTTCCTTAACATGTGTAGCAGCAAATCTTTCATCTTGGTTGTTGTAGGTCCATATACTTCAACATGCAATAAAAGAGTTGATTCATTCTTAAGTGTATTTTTCTCTACTTTGAATTCAACAGTTACATACTGAACAATGAAATAGTTTACAAAGACAATGAAAATTTATTCAGTTTTGCAGAAAATGTACTCTTGAATTTATGATTATGAAATTATTTATTTAAGTAAAATAAAGCATTTTTTACAATTTAGTTTCTTTAAAGTTGTCATTAAGTAAGTCATCTTGTTTCTGATAAGCTCAGAGTCATCTATTGGGAGTAAGTTCCTAGAAACACAGATTTATGCACTGTATATATGTTTTAACATATAGAGATAGCCAACAAACAATATGATGTTTTATAAAGTCATGATAAAATATTTATACCATTTGTAAAAAATGAAACTTTGCAAAATTTTGTTTGTTAATCAAGGCAATTAAAAAAATGTACACATTCAAACTGTGAAATCATAATATAAATTTTAGCAATTCAATAAGTGAATAAAAATTTAAATAAATGAAAAATAATATAATTGATCATAATTCATTTCATTTCTTTTAATTTAAGACAAATTCTATTTCCTGTTTTTTGCTGTCTCAATTTTACTTCTTAAAAATAGTCTACTCTGTTTAATATCTGTTGTATTATTTTTATATGTGTATTTAGATAACTTACTAAAAGATTATTAATTTGATTGGAAAATTTTGAAACTTTTGAATTTTTATATTTTTAGACATTCATTGTAAGACAGTCAAGTAAACCCAATACTATGGCTTTATCTGTAAGATTGCCAGAAAATAGAGGACCCTATGTAGAACATTATTTAATAGAAGCAATTGGAGATGGGAAATTACGATTAGAAGGATCTGATAATCATTTTCATGCTATTCCAATGTTGGTTGTTCATTATTATCAATGCTGGTAAGAATATAACATTTTATAAGATTTGACAAAGATAACTATAATAATTAATTTAATAATTGTTGAAAGTTTTTGAATTTTTATGAAATTAGTTTTTTTATTTAAAATATAAGTATAGTGGGTGATCGGTTAACGAACATAATCCATTCCAAGACTTTGTTCACTATCTGAATTGTTCATTAACCGATTATCAATTTACCATAGATTTTTATGGGAATTTGATTAATTCATTCTGGAGACCCCAAAAAATAAAATATATATATACACTTTCATTTATTTATATGTAATAATAAAAATACATATATACAATCTTGAATTTTTATTAGTCATGATTTTTCCATTTGTGGGGTTAAAGAATCTGTCTAATGTCGATTGCTTTTCTCTCTTCTTCAGGATTTTTAAGAAGTAATTAATAGCATTATAATTGTAGAGATCCGCAAGCATATTAATCTCAACTTGGTTTGGATACCATTCTAAGACCGTTTTTCTGACATCCTCCTACTTCTTCAAAAGGTGTTTAATAGCAGAATTGGCATTAATCCTCTTTTTCAAAAGAAAACATATCTTGCCGAGTTTTTTGGTGTTCTTCATTCAAGTTCTTGGCATTCTTCTGTCATCAGATCAGTTTCAGGTTCCATTATAAGCTCTTCAATGTTTTTTATTTCTCAGATGTGATTTTTGTTACTCCTTAATTTGCTTGAGTCTTCTTGATTATACTGTATCTTTCTTAGATAAGATTGAACTGTGGCCTACTGTAGACCTGTTCAAGCCATACTGCCCAGCAACATCAAACATCTGCCCACTCTCTACCTTTGCAATTATACTCTCACGTTTTGAAAATAAATACCCATGCAAAACTTAATGAGTGCTCTCCTGACAACCTCGCAAATACTATAAAAGAATTGTTTCTGTCAGAAAAATAAAAGGTTGGAATTACGAGGGAGCGTTTCAAAGTTCGAAGAAATACTATCCGAGCGGTATATACCAGATTGAGCGTCGAAGTCGATATCTCCCGTGCTCCAAAAAGTTTCGAATTGTTGCCTGAAGACCAATCAGTATCCATTATTTTACATCACTTCTTGTGTTTGTTCTGTGAGGTGTTCATTGTCCAAATATAAAAATCTTTCTCAAAAGTGTTCTTTAATCGATCACCCACTGTATTATCATTTTGTTTCTTTTCAGCAATTTAGAATTTTATTTCAAGAGTTTTTATGTTACATTTTCTGAAATTTTGGATTAATACAAACAATAACATTTTCTTAAAATATCAAGTTATATTCAAGACATGTATGCTGCAAAAAGAATGCTTTATATTGAAATGATTTATTTAATATTTAATTACGTGATTAAGAATTACTTTTGTAGTGAAAGCGTGAAAACATCTAAAATTCTGGAAAAATTTTAGATGCTTGATCTACACTGTTAGCAAAATTTTGTACAAATTCCAGTTAATAACAGCAAGCTGTATTTATACTATAAATTTCAGTAGCATACTAGTTCATGGATCATTTTCTGTTTAAAAAAGTAATAACAAAATAATATATATAAATGATGTATGATTTATTATAAAATATATGTTTTGCATCTTTCTTTTTATAATTTTTATTTTTAGTTCCTTTTATAATTTTTCTTTTACAAAAGTTTTAATGAGATTTATGAATGTTACAATATAAGTGTCAGAAAAATTTCTTGTGATTTTTACAAAATGTTTTCTTTTCTAAACTTTTAATCAAAATCACATCCTGAATAATTTAAATCATTATGATAATATAAATACCAACATTAATATATCAGTAAGTAATGTAGGAGAAAAATCAATATGAAATTTCAACATAGTGAATTTCTTAAAATGTTGATAAAAACAAATAAATGTGATACCACTTTCAATAATAAACATTATATATTAACAGTAATTACATAAAATATAGAATGGTTATTAGTATACATATATTTAACAATAAAATATTGTGTTTATTATAATGATAATAATAATAGTAATACAGTAGAGTCTCGAAAACTCGGCCTTATGTGGACCGAAGGATGGCCGAGTTTGTGAAAATGCTGGGTTATCGGGAATGGGGTTAAAAAAATAAGTATGAGTGTTTCCTCAGAAAATACTGTATTGTACTTGTATGTATTATTTACTTGAGAATACAACAGAGAATAAACTGCCCAAATATTCTTGAACAAAGGAAAAGTATGTCCTTTATGAAGGCATAGAGCCTTTACTACATGAAAATGAAAATTAATGAATGCACTGTGTACAGTAATTTACCTGATAAGACAGACCCCAGAAAAATACTTTGAAGCATAAAGCTTATATAATGAAAATTAATTAACTAAGGATTTTTTTGCCCTGCCAGGGTGTGGCCAAGTTATCCGAGCTGCCGGGTTATCGAGTGCCGAGTTTTCGAGACTCTACTGTAATAAATATTGTTATTACTATTACTACGTATATATTTATGCATTTACATATATAATAATTTTTAAAATAGTGACGAGTTACCAGTTCAGTTAACATTACCCTCTCCTCTTGCTCAAGCAATGTCTCGTCAAGAATTATCATCATTGGGATTATTAGGACAAGGTAATATATAATAATAAAAGAATAGTACTTTTTGAAATAATTTGAAAGTTAAATACAGACTGTTTTTCAGATTTTTGGCTTTCCAGCCTTGTTCAAAGTCCTACTGTTTCATTTGCTGGTCCTACTTCAGCTTTTCTTCCAGTTTCTTCGAATCATTCACTTCCAAGTCATTCTAGTGCACCACATTCTTCTTTTAGGCCTGTTCAAGGCAGGTCTCCAACCTCATCTTTTACTAATTCATTAATGAATTCTTCTCAGCCACAATGTTCAAGTTCTTCAGGGCCTCCTCCTCCAATTCCACAGGCTCCAAAACCACCACCAAGAAATGTTCCTCCTCCACCACCACCTCCACCCAGATCTTTCATTCCAATGAGAAGTTCAGGTTCTGCTACAAGAATGTCATCAATGGATATGCATTCAGTGACAGTGGCATCTAATGGAACTACATCTGTCATTCAAGAAGATACCAGTACTAATAAAGAAAATGCTACAAGGGTTTCTCCCCTTCATTCTGTGCAGCATAATACCAAATCTAATTTAGATACCAAAAGTGATCCTAAAATCAAACAAGTTGCTCATTATAAACAGTCTAACATTGTAGAGTCAAAACAATCATATTATCGTAGTAGTTTAGCAGATAAGATTAGTGATTATGAAGATATTTGGGGGTCTCCAATCCCTAGTGATAAAGATCGAAAATCAGATTTTACAACTTTTAAATCATCAGAAACTAATAGTAACAGTCGCCAAATACACCGTCCTAAGAGAGAAAGTGCTGCAATCAAACTTTTGCAACTGAAACTGCAACAAATGGTTAATGAAGAAACACAGACTGATTTAGAAGATGAAGATGATTATAACGATTCCAATATACAGTTATATTCATCTGATAAAAGTGATATTAGTGAACCTTGCACAAGTCATGGTTCAAAGACTGGAAATGTATCTTGGCTTAAACAAGGAAACAATTCTGATTCAATTATTGATTTTCCCTCAGAAGCACAATTTACTAGTCCATTTTATGCAGAACCTGTGGATTCTATAAAATATCCATTTGAAAACGAATTTTCTCATGATAGGCTACTTAAAGACACAAATACCACAGGAAGGCGACTTTTAAATCATCGATTTTCAGATCCAAATATTCACTGGCCTCCTTCATCTTCAGGAGTAGGGGTATTACAAAGAAAAGACTCACCTAATACAAATTTATGTCCAGAAGAAAATGGAATAAGCTTGTCTTCCAGTTTAGAAAATTTGAAAGCCTTGCGTTCCACTCCATTACACAGGCGGCACCAAAGTTTAAGTGTATCAGCTCATTGGTTACAGCAGTCTCAACTTGGATCTCCTAATGAAAATTCAAAAAGAGATGTTGAAACACAGGTAACACCTCAGGAAATTCAAAATAATTCAAAAAATGATAGAACTTTGTTGATGTCTTCATCAAAAAGTAGAGAACTTGAATCAACTTGGGCTGTTGATTCATCATGGGAATGGTTAGTAAATGATGACAGTAGTGAAGATGAACATTTTCCTTTAGATTCCCGCTTTCCCACAGATATTAAGAAAAAAAGTGACGATAATCAATCAACTGATGCAACTACTGTTGAAGAGTTGATTTCACCTGATCTCAGAGTACCTCAAACAAGATTATTAACTCAAAGTAATTTAATGAGAGTGTCTGAATATGATAATCTGGGAGGAAAAATGGAATCATCTCCAGTACATCATCAACAACAAATAAACGAAATAATGGATGATACTGCAACTGAATTTTCAGAGCCTTGGGATAGTCTTAGATGGGAACGGCTTTTACGACTTGTGATATCTGAAAAAGAAATAAATGAAGACATTGCATTGAAAGAACAACAAGAAAATAATAAAAATGTATTTTGTGAGACAAACAGCAGAAATGGAAAGCGGGTAAGTAGTTAGATAAATATGAAATATGATTAACATATATTTTCAAATCCATTAAAATTTACTTTTAGTAAACTTCTATTGCACTAATTATATATACAAGTTTTAAAGCTTTAGTTTTTTTCTTCTTATTACCAAAAGTATACAGTTAATTTGCTAATAAATAGTTCAATTCATAAAAATTTATAGAGAAATTTCATAAGTTAAGAATAAATATTTTCATGAAATAAAAATCTTTTACAATTAATAAAATTCAACAGTTATTCAAAACCGACATCAGAAATTTAAAACATTAAAATTGTTATATAGAATAATACAGTCGATTCCCCCTATAACACTGTTGATAATTCTGCTTTATATGAATTCCATGTTGTACAAGTCACTTAGATTTTACAAATACGTCAGCCGTTCACAGCCAGGCACACGTATTTGTAAAATCTAAGTGACTCGTACAACATGGAATTCATATAAAACAGAATTATCAACAGTTTTATAGGGGGGTTAACTGTAATTATAAATTTGGAGATATGGGATCTTAATTTTCAGTTACTGTATTTTGTCTGGCAGATAAAAAATTTCTTAATAGCACTGTTGCAAAGTTATATGTAATATGCAACTTTTTATTTTATTTTCATATCAGAAATTTTCTCTTAACAATTTTTGATGTTTTGAGTTTGTTTCAGGTGGTTTATAATTTTTTTAAAAAAATTCTGGCTCTAACTTTTATGAAAATTTTCATTTGTTTCAATGTTCTTTTAATCATTAAAAGTTGAAAAATATTGCTTTAATTACAAAGCTAGACAAGATATGTTGTAAATAACTAATATCTATTAATTTTTTGTGTTTTTTAATGTTGCATAATCAAAACTTACAGCAAGTACTAGTAGTAATGTTTTGAGTAAACAGATTTAATTTGAAAGTTCGTAAATAAAAGAGAAAGTAAGGTTAAAATATAAACTGTTTTTATATTTTTCTTAAATTTTATCAAATTAAATTTTTAATAAGGAAGTCAGTTTTCAAAAATTTAATAAGACAATTTATGTGCCTTCAAGCTCTTCTGGTACATTTTTTTAATTATAATAATTTATTAAAGGTGTTAATTTGCCATTGCCAAATGTAAGCAGAAGTATTCTTTAAAATTAATTAATTAAACATTCCCTCTCTCTTATAGAAATAAAACTTGTAACAAGTAGCTTTACTTTCTCAGACATTTTAAACAATAAAAAAGAAGAATTTAAATTTTATTTAAATAAAAATAATGTCTATGAGTCTATAGTTGCATTTGAATAATGTAATTTTAATAAGTTGAGGCTAGCACATTTCTATCAGTCTGATTTTTTTTCTCCCAGTATTTGTATAATATGGTTGTACCTAGCTTTTATATGTTAAAATTTTTTGTTGGTCAATTGTGCAATCAATATTTAAATACAATTTTTGAAATTGAACATAAATATTAATGTATGAAAATATTTTAATATGTTACTTCAATGTGATATCCCAATAACATGAGTTGTTCATTATATCAGGTAAATAAGTTTTGCTTATATATTAAGCCATGTTAAAAATAATAAAATAAAAATTTTAAACCTTTTATATCTTCTTTTGTATCTGCAGCAGTGATTCTCAGCAGTGTGCTGCAAATATTATGAACATAAATTTTAAAAATGAGAAGTAACCCATCTGTATAAAAATTTGTTATGTCTATGATCAACTGTTAGCTAGATTAGACCTTTAGAATAATAATTATTATTGTACACAACTATTTATAATTTAAAATATATTGTGGTTTTAATTTTGTATACAAAGTGCACTAGAAAAATTTTGCATGTTTTAAAGTGTGTCACAAACCAAAGTAGTTTGAGAATTACTAATCTACAGTACATTGTCTAGTGTTTAGTAGAAATAATTAGCCAACTATATAGAATCAAAATCTAGTATTGTATTTTATTAGATTTCTGGTAACTGTGTTAATTTAACAGATATTATAATGTACATGATTAAAAAAAATTTTTCATGACATAAATAACTCAATAAAAAATATTAAAATTTATGCAAGAAATTTAATGATATGTGAATTACATTTACATTATAGGATGATGCAGCAATAATGGCATTTGAAGATAGTGAAAATGCTTCAGTAATAAGTGCTATCAGTGGAAGTATAGATGATACTTCAATTTCCGAATATCCAACTATGACTGTTGATAAAGAACGTAGTAAAAGTTTTCAGGAACGACTTGAGCCCTTACTTGGTAAATTAAGCTAATAGTTTTATTTAAAATTATTTTTATTATTTGCCAAAACAACTTATTTTTATACAAATGATGTTTCTCACTGCACAGTTTAAAAAGTGGACAACTATTTGTATTTTAAATTATTGTACAACTAAACTAGTGGACAACTATTGTATTTTAAATTTAAATGTACTGTTAGTGTACAGGATTGTAATAGAATTAAATGATGTTATATAGTCACGGTAGCATGATTGCAGTTCTTGAGCTGCATGAGGCTTTTCTATATCTTTACTGCAGTTCCCATATACTTACACAATTATTTAATAAACTAGTTAACTTAAATAACTTTATTTTTAGTTTTATTTATGTATAAAATTTGTTAAAGCCTATTTCATACACTTAGAATATAATGAAAGTTTTTCAGTTAGGTTGATGTTATATCAAAATTTTAGATTAATATTATTTTGAAAAGAGTTGAATGAGTTAAATTTTGTAAATTAGAATAAAATATATTCAAAGATTAATCTGAATAATATCTTGTAATTTTTTTGTTAACAGTATCATTTTATTTGCTAATAGAGACTGCTATAAACATCTTTACAAGAAGCAAAAATTGCAGAAACAGTGTTAGATGAAGTTAACAAAAGAAAAAGTTTAAATAGAATCTTTGAAATATTTAAATTTGAATATATTAATTGAGTGATTACATTGTTAATTCTTAATTATAATGTTATCTTTGAATTAATTTATTGTTTGCTGTAATATAAATATTATGACATATTATTATGAAAACATAAAATGTATGTTTTCATGATTCTTCATAATAATATAATGTTGTTTTTTAGAAGTCAAACAACTTCATTGTTGGATTACACATTTTTTGGCATTGTTCTACTGCATCTTCAAATCTAAATATAGAGTTAGAATGATGGTAAAATTTTAAAGAATACAGAGTTTTGAACAAGCAATAAAAAAGAAAGCATGTTTTGAAACAATTTTAAATATATATTGAATATATTAATAAAAATAAAATAAAATAATCAGAAAAATATAAGGATTATAAAATAATAAGCTTGTTCAAATAAGGTCAACACTCTATTATAACATTATAACATTAACTTGCTAAAAATATAATAAGTAATAACTTTACCTTCATTATAATTTTTGTATTTGGATCTGAAGATGCAGTAAAACAATGCCAAAAATGTTTAGTCCGGCAATAAAATTATTTGACTTACCAAAAATGCAAACAAATTTTATAGTATTTTTCATATTTGTTTATGAAATTACATACATGTAAATATTGCTGCATTTAAATTATGAGGAACATTTAAAATCTTTGAAATTAAACATAATTATAAAAATTATTTGAACAAAACAGATAATGTAAATATCTCCTTGCTCATTATATTATAATTAAAAAATTTAATTCAAATTAAATTGTTTTTAACTTTGAATATTTAATTTTTATAATTTCATATTTTTAGCTGCCCAAAGAGTTGTTGCTCTGAGGAATAAAAACACCAGAGTAGGAGATAATATCAGACAGTATATATTTAGGTAAGAAGTTTTAATTACTAGTGTAACAAGATAGTTTAATTATATTTTATTGGAAAATTATTCTAAATGCTTTGTAATATTAAAAGTCATTTTTTTCACAATAAAATTAACAGGGTGTCTAGCAAAATTGGATTTTAAATTTTCTTGACTTTCCTATATTTTTCAGAATATGCAATGAAAAATTACAGGTAGTTTCCAAAAATTAAAAACTTATCAAAATCTTGATTTGCAATATGAAATGTTTGTAAAATAATGTAAATTGTAGTTACACTCTAAATTATGATGATCTTATACTTAAGACAGCCAAAACTCATACATTAAAAATATTTCTGAATTTCAGCAATTATTTGTTCTTGTTAATTATTGTGTGGTGCAACAATTATAACACTGTTTGCACTCACTCCTCTTCCTTAGAGAATATGTAATATTACTCTTCACTATTTAAAAAATTACTAAGGCCCACATGCTTTTAACTGGCTACATCCATAATATGAGAACACTAGTATTTTTTTCTATCATTATTTTTTATCATAAACTCATTATTTATTACAAACATATAATAAAATATAATTGATAATTGTGCAAATATTTCAGTTTCAACATACTTGAAATTGATTTAAAAATAAGAGCATTTTAGAATTAATTCTGCAAGTCAGAAGTGAAATGTTTTCAGGAAAATCATCATATTTTCAAAAAATATTAAACATTACTTTGAATTTTAAAATTTAGATAGCATCTCTGCATTGTTTCCATATTACACTATTGCAATAATTTGATTATAATAACCAATTGAAATATATGTACAGATGTTGTATTATATAAACTTATCAATAATCTATATAATTCTATTCTTAAATCCATTATACATGGTGATTGTAACTAAAGAGTAGATGTTTAAAATTCTCTGTAGAAAGAATTATTGGAAATCTCAACTAAAGTTGGTATGCGGTATTAATTTGTGTAAACATTTTAAGGAGTTAAGAAACAGAATTCAATAATTTTATTTTAATTACAGATGTGGAATTATTATGACATAATTATTAGCATAACATACAAATAATCTCTGACTGTAAAGGATAAAGACAGCATAGCAAAAATTGTTACAAAAATATGAGCTTTGTTACATGTTTTAGAGAATATGTTCAAAATGACTGCCTTCAGCAACAATACAAAGATGTAAACAGGCAAGCATGATGTTATGAATGACGTTAGCATTCCTGGTGTCATTGTTTCATAGGCCTTTGTATGCATCTCTCCAGTTTGCCAACATCATGCAGTACTGTTGGATACACATCATACACAAATGCTTTCAGGGCCACTTGAAAAAATCTAGAAGTGTTGAATTTGAGAAACATGACAACTGTGGAAAAGGCCTGTATCCAGCAGTTGCCAAGTCACTCTGTGAGCCATTGATGCCTATCTGGGAATGAATTGGCACACGTTTTGTTGATGTTGCATTCAAATCAAATAGGGTTGCATTCAAAAATTTAAAACATTTCAGAATGTATATAGTAAAAATGTTAGTACATTTAAATTGTATATACAGTCAACCCCCCTATAACACGGTAGATATGTTCCTCTTTTTATGAATCCAGCTTCTAGGAGTCCAGCCAATCACAGCCCGGCACATATGCAATTTACAGACTACGATTGTTTGAAAGGTTTCTTCCATAAAATTAATCGATTCTAGACTAATTCGACTCAACATTTCCAAAATATGTAATTATTATTATTAATTTGCTGAATTTATTAATTGACATAATATCAAAGTTTACAGGACAATAACATTATTCTTCGTACAGTGTACACATACATAATATCCCCTAATGGGGATCAGCCTTTCCCCGCACCGCTTTCGCATAACGGGGGATTTTGGGAATAATCCATATAAACTATGCTATAAACAAAAAATTGTAGGATTACTTATCGAGTGTGCACCATTAGACTACGCCATTGCTTAAGCTTGTTTTCGTTGTGGAGATTGTCATCAAATGGCACTCGCGTGCTTCCAATAAATTATTTTTTTGCGAAAAATTCGCTGAACTTTAGAGACATCATTAATATAAATATAATTTTTATGGACGTTAAATAATAAATGGTTTTTGATAGGTCCACCGCTCGTTTAAACTCAACGGTTAGTGCAATCCTGTCACGACACGAGTTGGCAATGATGTTTTACCAAATTATTTTTTTTAGCATGTTTTTATGAATACTGTTGCAATTTTTTAGCCATGATATAGGAATCCGAACTATATGAACCCGTGTTATAGGGGGATCGACTGTACATAAGTTTAATTTAATAGCAAGTCATCAAGCCATTTGCTTAATTAATTAACATCATATTAGGATGTTCAAATATAGGTCATTATTCAGGGTGCTGTTGATGAATTTGGGACCAAGCTGTTCCCAAATTCCACACAGGTTTTTTTTACGTATGTGGAGCATACACTGTCCAGTGATGCAATTGTGAAAATTATACATTCTATTCTGGAAAAATAGTACCTCATTAGTCCATAAAATGTGCTTAAGGAGTTATGGTTTTTCATGCTGTAAACTTAACATCATATTGCACCACTAAAATAGCTATGTAGCCTTCTTTGCAAATTGAGCTGGTTGCAGGTAGCAGTGAAATGGATTCATGTCATGGTGATATAATAACCAGTGTATTTGTCTGCTGCAGTCCATAACTTAACCTAACCTAATCAATATCTTGCCTTTTAGTGCTCTCAGAACAGAAAAGGGCCTAAAACTACAAGAAAAAAACCTAATCAATGCTGGAAAAATCTTTTGCTCCTGGATAGATGTTTAAGTAGTGTAGTGTATAGTGGTCTAATTATTTTACATTGAAAGTACTGAAGCTTTTGGATCTTTATAAAATAGAACTTTTATGAACACTATTCTTGCTACTTGAAATGTTTGATCTTTCATTTATAATTGCATTATTTATATTTATAATAAATGTTTTTGACAGTTAATCTTCAAAACAAAATATTTACAAATAATCTAATCCTAAAAATATTTATTAAAAACAAGGAAACAAGAAAATTTTGATGTAATGTACATTTAAAATTTTAAACATTAAAATGTTTAAAATTTTAAATGTACATTACATCAAAATTTTAAATTTCAACTGAATTATCAATATAACAATATTATATATTTCATTACATTAATCCTTTATGTATGATAACTTTTTGTGTAATTTTGTTTTTTAGCATTTATTTGTAGAAGATAAAAATAAGTTAATTAATTAATTTGATGCCTTTTTAATCATTTGCATATTAATTTTCATATCAAACTTGTTATAAAAGTCTAGTTATTCTCATTACCAATCATTTCATGATCTATATTTTAAACATGAGATAATGGATTTTCGTATTTTATTATATTTTGTTTAATTAATTTTTTAATTAAATTATAATTTAGTAAAAAAAAGTCCTAAGATCAGATATCATCCTAGATATTTCAGATATATAAATATATACTTGATTAATTAAGACATGTTTTATTCTTATAAAAAAATTATGTTAAAATGTGTATTCTAATATGTGAATTTCAGAGTATTTCATTCTAAAAAGATGAATTCTGTTTTTAAATATGTAACTGTTTTTGATTGTTTTAATTAGACAGAATTTGCATATTCTTGCTAATCCAGCTCTTAATAATCAATCTTCTCAATTACTCTGCGTACTTCCTAGTATGATTCCCTATGCACTTCTGTTTCCATGAAAATGTTAGTCATGTCACACTTCCTGTTTACTTGGATTTCATTTCTGTGTAAAGTATTGCATGTCAATTTGCTACACTATTTTCCCACCCATATCTAAAAAGAATTAGTACTGAAGGTGCAGGTCACCACATCACATCATTAGACAGGTCTATATATTCAGTAATCTGGTGCTTCTTTTTGTAAGGAATAGCAAAAGTCAGGCATATTTGTGTGTTGGAGAATTTTTTTGTCTCTACAAATAGTGGCAAACTCTGTAGAATTTTTTTTTTTTTTTTTTTGCAGCAGGACTACATATATTCTATGTATACAAAGGATGGCATATATTAAGATCCAAAATAGCTCATGTTTGTTATTTCTATTTTTTATTATTTTCTATTTCAAATATTTTAATTGATCTTAGGAATGAAGTAATGGCATCAAATTTAGTTTAATGAATTTAAACTAGTTTATGTAAATTAACTAATTGTGAGTTGTTATCTAATAGTTTTTTGTAATTGATAGTTTATCACAGGGGTGGCCAACCTTCTGCATACAATGCGCCAATTTTCTGACAGACGAGTTCAGATGCGCCATATAAATCGAACACTTTTTATACAGTCTTACGTTCAATGTTAGGGGTTGATAAATAGAGATAAGAATATATCTGCTTCGCTTAGGAGAGAAAAGGGAGTAACTTAATCACGCAGTTGAATTAATTAATTTATGACAGTTTATTGAAGCACCAATTTACAATAGTCACCAATAATCTCCTGTATGAGAGGGTGATTGCTTGATGATGGTGCTATAGCTGCCAGAGTCTCGTTTGGTGAAGATTACTCTGCACCACAATTATTGGCACTGAAAATCAGCTTGGAATAACTTTAATCACAATAAATGTTTTCAACCATTTACACGCCTGTAAACTGATCGGAAATAAAGATCGCAAGACTCA